CTCAAGGGGCGGGGAGGATAAATATAGACACTGTTTAGGCGAATAGCAGAGCAGGCAGACCAGCGCTAGGATAGGAGATGAGGAAAGTTGAACGATGGTGGATGATGTTTATACATGTACTCGATGCAAAATATCGGCTCGATGCCCCATCATACCGATGATGAAAGGAGGCGCGAATCTTTTCTTGTGGTTGCTACAATGGAATGGAGAAGGGTGAAGGATGGTCGCCTACGAAGTATGTCATTCGCATTCGCATCTCTTTGGGCGAGACAAGTACGCTCTGCCAGGCCAGAGGAATGAAGGTGGCGGCCTCCAGCTCAGCCGCCGAGCAAAGCGCTGATTGTTGGGACCGATAGAGCTGTTGCATCATCGCCATGAGCTCCGGCGACTTGGCCGTCACCTGATTTGGGTCCACAGCACCTCGGACGACGTCGATCAGCCGCGTTGCGTTTCCGACGCTGTTTGGACTGATACGTCGCTTAAGATTCTGCGCCGGCCTCTCAGCCCCGCCTCATTGCTTGGCGTTGTGTTTTTGTCTCTTCGGCTGATCGTCGAAGCAGCTCCACGTTATCGACGAGGCATGATGTTCTCGGAGCCTGGGCCTCTCGCGCCCGCCCAGATGCTGTTGATGTCGCCCATTTCTTCGCACGGGAAAGACTCCCATGGTACAAATAGCGCAACGTGCTCCACGGCTGCCCTTTCAATGGTGGAAAAGAATTTTGCATCTCCCATCTCCTCCGGCGAAACATTTTCCGCACAAACCTTCGATGACACGAATTCTCGTCGTGGGCAAAGCGGATGTGATGATGCCGCGGACAATTTGAGGGCAATGAGGGTTGACTTGCAGCCGGTTTCCCCGCCACTGCTCTACGTCACGCACCTGAGGCTGGATATGGCTGCCGACGTCCAACTTCAGCATTCAACATCTCGCGGCTGACAGTCTTGTAATGCTGGCTGAACATGAGTCTAGATGGTGAAAAAATATTTGCGACAACTTTGCGAAGCAGACTAACTTTGTGTGACGTTGCCCCTATTAACGAGCGGCGGTCCACCAGCGAGACGCATAACGCACGACACTCTACGCTTGCGATTAAATATAAGGACTACAATAAGATAATTAAAGGTAAATAATCTAAACCTCTTTCCTAAGCGTTATTTCTCGCGCTCTAGTGCCGCTATATCTAGATAACCTAGACCTTTAATTAATACTACCTAACCCGTATATAGTAATTCTCTCTATTTAATTTAGGCTTATTAGTTTCTCGTCTACCTATAAGTCCTTACGCGATAGACGGCCGCGCTAATATAAGAGATATTAACGTTTACTAGCCTTATTTCGCGAATCTAGAACGTTAACTCTTTAATCGAAACCTTAATACCTTACCTTAAATTCGTTAAGTATTTACTTATCTAGAATATTCCTCTTTAGCTCTAACCCTATAGTACCGTTATATTATCTTTAATAGAAAGTATACTTTCCCTACTAAGCTAGTAAGCATTCTACCTAGTAAACGTTAGTATTACTATCTATACTATATTACTAAATTAGCTCTTTTAAGCTACCTTTTATAGATACCTTAGTTCTCCTTACTAGAATTATAAGTCCGCGACTAACGACTTTCGACCTAGTATATACTATATATAAGGTAGCTTATATAAACTATAGCTAAAACATTACTATACTATTATCTTAGATATACTTTAGTACTATATTAGAAAGGGGCTATTCTTTATAGCTTACTAAGTTAACTACTATATTATTTAAAGATATAATAATATTACTATTACTCTTATACCTCTAAGTATATTATAGTTAAGGTCTTAAGAGTTACTAAATATTAATAACTTAGTCGCGCTGTTTATAAGCTAGGGCTATAGCCTTATAACGCTTATATACTAGTATATACTTAATATTATTATAATCTATTTAGTCTTTTATATAATCTCTCTTTCCTATAGTATAATAATAACTATACTTACTACTAATAGTCTTAAAATATCTATAATTGCCTCCTCTTAGTTCTATTAGAATTTTAAGAATAAGATGCCCTAGGATCTTTACTAATATATTAAGACTCTTCGACGCGTATTTAATTAGTTTAGGGTAAGGTAGAAGGAATAAAAGCACGCTTATAATTATATATTAATAGGAGATACCGTTCGCCGCTATTACTTAAGCTCTTTTAACTATAGCTAGAACTACTAGGTTTTATTATAGTTTATTTAATTAGAGCTAATTTATCGACCTCTTTAAAGCCTAAGCTATTATTATAATATAAGGCGGTAGCGCTTAGTTAGCCCTTATTAAAACTACTAATAAGTTTATATCGATTTAAGGGAGTTATAGCTAGGTTAACCCTTAAAGTAAGAGAAATAAAATCGGCGGTAGATATAGGACGGGAATAATATATAGTATTTATAACTTAGTTATATAAATTATTATTATCTTTAGATATAGGTAGCTTTATTTAGATTAAGTCGACTACTATTCTTATAAAGAGGGAAGCGAGAAGTATATAAAAATATATAAAGGTAAAATTAAAAGTAAGGGGTTAGATAGGTAGGGCAGAGATATATAATTCTTATAAGGGTAGTAATTAAGGTAGGGGAGTAATTATTATATTACCTTAATTCTCCCTTTTTCCTCTATCTAACGCCCCTCTTTATACCTATTTAGTAACTTAATTAATAAAGAAGATCTTACTTAAAGAAGCTATTAATATCCTTTTAACTACTAAGCTTTTTACTAGTTTTTCCCCTCTATTCTAGCTATTACCGGTATATCCGTCTTATCTTTTACTACCTTTATAGGAAGCTATCGCTACTTTTACTTCCCCTCTTACCCCTACCCTCCTCTTTATACCTCCTTTATCGCACGGAGGATGAGCAAGTGGGCATAAAGATCAGGGACTGGAAGACTCTTGATTCTGCTATCTAAGGTGGGAAAGAGGCGAGATCTTTATAGACTGCCTGAATATGAGAATGGAAGGGAATGGTAGTGAATGGAAGCATCTGATCGGATCATCTGGAAGCCACTGATGCGTTGATGATGCCTCCTAGAAGTTTCTGTGGGAAATGTGGAAACGGACTGTGCGAATAGGGGTCAGACTGTTGGAGGCTGATATCCTATGTGTGACATACCCCAGGTTGTGCTGGCTAGTGGGCAGTGCAAACTGAAGAAAGAAACTAGATCCCTAGCAACGTAGAGATATCGACGAGACCGAGTTGTTTGACGAAAGTAGCAAATTTCTGGCCTGGCAGAGCTTTGGTGAGCGGGCTGAGCGCCGTGGCTGAGTCACTCGGACCGGGGTCCGGTGTCGGATATGGGTGCTGAATGTCATGAAACTCATCCTGATCATCCGAGTCCTCATGATCAGATGGTTCGGGTTGTACCACAATCGTGGTGGCGTCTCCTTGGTCTGAGGTTGAGGAGATTGCTCAACGGGGTCAGGTTCAGGTTCATCGATTTGAGTGGGGATTTCCTCGTAATCCGACTCGTCCTCGATGTGGGCTGGAAGCTGTACTTCCACGCGCTGTGGGATAGGTTCTGGTGGCTGATCATTTCCGTCATAGAAGATGCTTTCATTGAAGGTCACATCTCGGACCCTTCGGACTTCTGATGTGGACGGAATCCAGATCCTGAAAATGTTCGTGGAATCATATCCAACGAGATAACCGATTTCTGTGTGAGGGTCGGTCTTTAGGTCCTTCTTCTGTCTGTTCTGAAGGGCCTGGGGTGTCAAGGATAGGCTCTGCAGCCGTATGCCTTGAGAAACGTGATGTCAGGCTGGTCTTGCTGGTAGCCTATGTCTCTGTTGTTGTCTCGCAGCCACTGATGAAGCAGCTGGAAAGGCGTTCGGAAGCTGTGGTTCTGCATGGGCGATCTGTTGTGCAAAAACACTGCTGCTTTCCAAGTCTCTGGCCAAAGATCAGATGGTAAATTGGCATCAATTCCCATTGTTCTGGCCTGGGCAGATATTACCCCCCCAGATCGCTCTGCAGAACCGTTTTGAGCGGGAGTGTAAGGGCAGAAGGTTCATCTTGAATCCCTTTCCTCGATCCAGCTCTCATACGCACTCTGAAGAGAACGATCGTTATCACGGTGGATAATGCAAATGTTGAGATTCCATTGGCGTTGAACCATTGCCTCGTGGTTTCTCAAAGCAGTCATAACGGACCCTTGTGTCGCGTCATTCAGAAGGTAGATGAAGATCATGCTTGTAAATTCATCTTTGATAAGAAGAACAGCTTCCTTGCCGTTGAATGAGGTGTTCATACTGAAGATATCAACGTAGATTCTCCAGAATGGTCTGGGGCTCGGTTTTGAGGGGTTCGGCGAGACGACCTTCTTTCCTTCCCAAGGGAACACGCGGTGCAATCGATGGTAACTGGGCCTTTGATCTTCGAACCCGTCGTGTTCTCAACAAGATGCTCTAGGGCTTGAGCGTTCAAGTGACCTAGGCGCTTATGCCAAAGCGTAGCATCTGCTGTTTTCACTGTGCGAGGTGCAGATGAAGATGTGAAATTGGAGGCGTGAGAGTCCTCCTTAATCGGGTTGAACTCGATGACCGGTTGACGAAAGCGGCGTTTCGTATGAAATATAATCTGATCGTCTTTAGAGACGCGTCCAGATAGTGGATTCCAGTTGTATCCCTTCGCAAGAAAGCGGTCGAGGATGCGATGTTGGTGTGGAATTTTGGCACGAAGGCAACTTCGTTGAGCTGAAAAAGTCCTCCTTCTTCAAGCTTCATACGGACTGTGCCGTAGCCAAGGATCTGAAGTTGACTATCGCCTGCAAAGAGCTCTTTTGGCTCTGCAAGGGCGGTGTAGTCAAGAAAACGGGATCGGTTGTTGCAAATGTGTGTGTCTGATCCGGAATCAAGGATAAAGGAGTCATACAGCGGGTAGACTACCTTTCCGTCGAGAAACTGGTTGATGGAGGTGTTGAGGGAGGCGGTGTGTTGTCAGGAGCTGGTAGAAGACCGGCAAACGCTGTGCCTTTAACGGAGGAGTCGGACGATTTCTCCATTTCCTTCTTCTTGAAGTCTTGTGCTTTCTCCGTCATCTTCTTTGCCCATGGATTGAGTCGAGGATTTCTTGATCTTCTTCTCAACCTTCTGATCAGGAGTCCAGCCATCAGGCCGAGCTGATTTGATGAGATAGAAGCAATCTACGAAGCGGTGATATTCTCCGCAGACACACATAGGAACACCATCAGCGTTCTTGCTTGAAGACCACTTAGGCTTGTCCTCTTTCCTCTCCGATTTCTCTCCCTTGCCTTGGAAGGCAGCTCCGAATGATCCTTTGCTGTTGTTGGCGGCCTTGATTCGGTGAGCTCGTTCAAAGATCTCACTGATCTTAATGCCGTCCGGGAAGTCCGTCTTCCAATCAGGCTTGCCGAATACGGCCTCGTCTTCCATTTTGTTGACCCAATAGTCTGTGAATGGGGCGTTGATGGACGAAACAGCCTGTAGGAAATCTTGGGTAGGGCGAAGGTCCTGGACATCAGGAAGCCCTAATTGCTTTGCCTCAGTGAGGACTTTCTGCCATTGGGTGACCCAAGCTTCGATCTTGGTCCTGTTTGGCGACTGAAGGGTGGAACGATAACGCTGAACAACTTCCCTCTCGAGTGCCCAGTCGGTTGGGGCCACACGAGCCTGAAGCAAGGCAAGTTGCTTTGCAACGTCGTGTTCCTCGGCAATGGTGCTGTAGTAGTTGCCGATGGTCTTGACGATGTGTTGTTGAAGGCTGGCGAGTGCCTTCACTTGATCCCTATACCCTTGAAGCTTCGAGCGGTATTGGGTGTGGAGGAATTCGAGACGGCGAAATTCCTCCGAGGTCAGATCCACGAGATCAGATGCTTCGTGGTTGATTTGTCGGAATGTTGGTTCAACTGGCTGCTGAAGAACCGGCTTACCCTCCTTGACGGCAGGGTCCAGAAAGTCCCAAAGACTGTGGGACGTGGCGAATTTCTTGATGATAGAAATCCATTGTTTCCAGTCGCAAGGGCCGTTGAGCACGGTGCCCTTGGAAGAGCCATCAAGATCTAGAGCTGAGCTCATTGTGGAAGCTATTCTGCGCAGCGGAGTGAACAAGAATAAGATACCCAGTCAGTGGCAGACCGGGCTCATAACTATCGCACGGAGGATGAGCAAGTGGGCATAAAGATCAGGGACTGGAAGACTCTTGATTCTGCTATCTAAGGTGGGAAAGAGGCGAGATCTTTATAGACTGCCTGAATATGAGAATGGAAGGGAATGGTAGTGAATGGAAGCATCTGATCGGATCATCTGGAAGCCACTGATGCGTTGATGATGCCTCCTAGAAGTTTCTGTGGGGAAATGTGGAAACGGACTGTGCGAATAGGGGGTCAGACTGTTGGAGGCTGATATCCTATGTGTGACATCCTTTTAGCTCCTTCTTTAAAACCTATTTTTTAGCTTCCTAGGTCCCTTATACTAAGAGATATCTCCGAGAACAACGAAATTAAGCTACGCTTCGCGATATACCCCCTTAGCTATAGCCTGCCCTTATAGAAAGGGTAAAGCTAAATACCTAAGCTAGTAAGCGTATAAAGGAGGTCTTAGTCTATACTTATCCCCTATTTAAGAAATCCGGGTTTTAGCCTTAAGCTCTTTTAGACCTAATTTAGAAAAAAAGGGCCTTAAGGAAGATATTAAGTCCTATAAGAAAGGGGGGCTTTTCTAAGGATAAGTCCTTAAAAAAGAGGCCTTTTAAGAAAAATAAGTTTTAATTAAGCTAGGGGCCCTCCTTTAAGATAAGTCCTAATTCCTTTCTTTAGCTATAAGTATCTCCTTCCTCTTATATACTATTAGCTCCTCTTATAGACTCTTAAGGCGGGCTTCTAAGGATAGCTTTTCTTAAACGTCTTTTAGCCTAATTTACTATAAAAAGATAGCTAGCTTCTACTTTAGTAAGGGCTTTATAAGACCGTTAGCTTTTATCGATACTATTAAAACCTAATAAATAGAAATAAGTCCCTTTTAGACCTCTTAGCGTAACTAATACTAATAGATATTAATATATTATAGCTAGGTTAATAGCTTACTATTTTCTATAAGAATTTATATAGTCTATATATTATTATATTTTATAGTTAATAGGGTCGGAATTTATAGTTATAAAGATATTAATAGCTAGCTAAGAAAAATCGCTTCTTTTAACGCTTTTAAAAGAGCTAGTAGCTCTACCTCTATATTAAAAGTCGTAATAGTAGCTTACTTTAAAGCTCTCTAAGTAATAGTTCCTTTAAAAAGGGATATAATATACCCTTATAAGCTCTTTTTATCTAAGGAATTATCTATAAAGGACGAATCGCTTAAATAAAGGAAGATTTTAGTAGCTAATTTCCTTCCTTACCCTTTTAAGCGTAGACTATATAATCTTATTAAATAGAGATAAAGGATTGCTTAGTTTACTACTTCTTAGTACCTAGGGCTAGGATTCTAGTTATACTTAGCTAGCTAAGAGACTATAAAAGAGATATCCGGTTTAGTAGAAATAGCTAAAAAATAGTAAGGAGCCTACCTTCTATTAATATTAGTATTTCTCTTACTCCCTAGCTTAAAAGGACGGATTAAGTAAAAGCTCTTTATCTAATATTAATATAAAGGGAAGCTTCTTATTAAGGGATTTAAGGAGGAATTTATAAGCGACTTTATCGATATAAGCGTCCTAGGTAAGCTAGATAGTTTATTAGGACCTATTTTAAAGGATTTATATTCTTAGGAACTACTTTAGCTCCCTTAGCTTAGTTATCTTATACCTTTATTATAGGCCTTTTATAGCCTCCTTAGTAGTTACTTCTTCCTCTTTTAGGTAGGCCTAGATAATATTATTAACGTAGTAAAAGACTATAATTTTACCCTTCTATATTATATATAGTTCTTAAGAGACTTTCGTAAAGCTTAGGGCTTTAAGGGAACCGGTTAAATACTATTACTAAAGAAAGGGTAATCTTTATAGTCTATATAGAGCTTTCCTAAGCTATAGAACCTTTCCTAGCTATTAAAAACTAAGAGGAAGTTATATATAGATAACTTCTTCTTCCTTAAAAAGGTAGTTAATAAAAGCGTTAACTATATCTATCTAATTAAGCTTAAGGTCGAATTCTACTACTATAGCTATAAGGGTCTAAAAAGATATCCCTACTAAGGTAGTTACCTTAGTAAGTAGATCCCCTTTTTCTTATTATTTCCTATAGATAACTAGCTAGGCTTTATACTTTTAAAGGAAGCTATATTTATTAGTCTTATAGATAAAGACCTACTTATAGCTAAGGACCTATTTTCCTCTTACCCTTTCTTTAAGGACCTCTTTAAAAGAACCTATCTCTTTATATAAGGCTAGGTAGTCTTTCTAGGCCTAGAAAAACTAGTCTTTAAAGGGGTGTTTTTCTAGCTACTTTTAGTTTACTAGTAGGTCTAGGAGGTCTCTTTTATATACCTTCCTTATTAATATTAGCTTAAAAAGCTAGCTTACTATAAACGCTTTATAGGAACCGTCTTTTATTAGCGTTAGATAGAAGTTAGAAAAACGATTAAAATAAAGGAGAGGTTAGTCTTCTTTTATATTAGGCCCTATACCTTCCTTTACTTCTTAAAGTAGGGATAAAAAGGCAGCTAAGTAATCTTTTAAGAGAGGTGCCTTTCCTACCCCTTTAAGGGTCGAAATAAGAAGACTAATAAAAAAAGCTACTTTTAGATCTTCTTCTTATTTTATAAGAGGAGGCGTAGGAAGGTAGGCGTATTCTAGCTCTACTACTTTCTTATAGTCTCTTTCTTTATCTAGATTATTTAATCTAGTAGCTTCCTCTTTTTCTTTAAAGTTAGCGTTATCCTTAACTACTTCGATATTAGTTTCTTCTTTTATTTCCTTATCTAGGGCCTCTTTTTATAACTATTAAGAAGGGGGGATTAAAATCTTTTAAATTAGCTAACGTTATAAGAGTAAGAAGGGCTATTAATCCCTCTTTCCGTTAAAGAAGCTAGATTCGTTAAAAATTATATCCCTAGTTAAAATAACCTTTTATAAAAAAGGAATCTAGATCTAGAAGATATTTATAGAATTATAACTAACGAGGTAACTAATAAAAGCTCTAGGATTAAGCTTTCTTTTCTTCTTTCTTTTTAGCTATATATCGGTAGTTATAACGTATACCTTATAACCGTAAGTATAAAGATAGGCTAATAAGGCCCTCTTTTTTATAAAGAGCTCGAGGGGGGATTTCTAGTCTATCCCTTAGGTAGTCCCTTTAAGGGTCCGGTTCTATAAGTAATAGGCGGTCTTAACGACTTCCCTTTAAAGGTTATAAGGAAGCTTTATAGTAAGTCTTATTATATAGGCCCTTTCTATTATAGCACCCCTTAATCTTTCTGCCCCTCCGTTTTAGGCCTAGGTATTTAGTGCTAATAAGAGGGGTAAAATGCCCCCTTTTTAAAGCTAATTTAAGATATCTTTCGTAAATAGCTCTTTATTAAACTATATCTTCTTTACCTTATAGCTAAAGTAGGATTTTATTTAGTTAAAGAGGTCTTAGAGGGTAGACTAGTTATACTTACTTAGGTAGGTCCGTAAGAAATAAGGGAAAACCATCCCTAAAAAAGCATCTATATAAAATATTACCTTAACAAAGCTTTCTTAATCCTTAGAGACGTTAGTTTAGTCGACCTAAATTTCCTTATACGGCTAGTCTAGCTATAAAGGGGTTTATCTAGAAATTTATCTCTTAGTTTTTCCTTAGCTATAGTATTTATATTTAATAGTCTTTAAGCCTTTTATTCGTACGCCCTATTATTAGCCTAGCTTATATAAAGCTAGGGGGCCTAGGTAACTAAGTCGTATATATTAAAGAAGGCCGTCTTCTTAGGCTACTAAAAGAGTATCCTTTAAACCTACCTTCTATTAAGTAGGGAAAGCTAACTTCTTAAGATATTCCTTTTTAAAGATAGGTTGGAATTTAAGAATATATTAACCGGATTTTTCCTCGATAAGCTTAATCGTTTAATTCTTCTAGACTAGCCTTATAGGCTTAGACGTTATATCCTAAAAGATTCCTTTCTCTTAAAGAAAGCTGAAGGAAATTAAGCTTATTAAAAATTAAGGGTAAAAAGCTACCCTTTTTCGTCGAAGAATTTATATAGTCCTATTAAGTAGTTTTATCGTAAAATTCACCCTTCTATACCCCTCTATCTATATAGTTAATTCCCTAGTAATAAAGTATTCCCTTTATACCTTTTTAAAGGACTAGAATTATAAGAGTATATTATAAATATTAAGGGAAGTACTAGAGTTAAAGATAGCTAATATTCGTAGGGGATAGTTAAAGGGCTTTAACGGTTAGTCTTAGCTTTATTAATCTATAAGGAAGATAAAAGCTGGATTTATTATACTAACGAATTTTCCTTAAATTTACGGCTTAAATAAAAGCAGCGGCGTTAGTTACTATTTCTTAGTAACTTAAATCTCGTCTATCCTTTTCTATAATAAGGGGTCCTCCTTAAGAGACTATTATACTATTTCTTATAGCCTCTTTAAAGGGTTAACTCCTTTAAGTCGGTTTTCCTTAAAGACCTATTAGTATTATAATAACTAATAGCCTAGGGATTTATAGGCTAGGTAGCTATTTTATTTAGTCTTTCGTTTCTTTAAGGAATCCTTATCTTAATCTTAAAGGTCTACTTAAAAACCCCCCTCTTTATACCTTATTACTAATATTAATAAGGTTCGATTTCGACTAGTTCCTTAATTTTTCGACTAATAGACTAAAAGGTCTATTAAGGGACTAGTTAGGCTAGATAGACTAACGGGGCTAGGGCCGGGCCCGGAGTAAGATATAAAGCTAGGGCTAGGACCGGGGCAGCTATTAAAGACGGTATTAAGGCTCTTAAGGGAGGTAGAGCTAGAAGGGCAATAGCTATAGTAGTAGCGGGAGCCGTAGTAAGAGGGGCTATAGTAGCTATAGGGGTAGTAGGTTAAGCTATCTAGGTTAAGTGCTGGCTAAGAAGGAATAAGACTACTTACTATTATACTTTAATAGCTT